GTTATGATGCTTCTCAAGCATTGCTTGAACTTTTTTGGCCACAATGAACAGGTCGGCTGTTTCCGCATCAGTCAAATCAGTCAGATGCTGGACGACACGTTTCGGACTGATGAGAACATCTGGAATGGAACATTGTTTTAAATTCAGACTGCCTGAAACTTACGCCCATCAGTAACGGGCTTCAAATTGACAAACGCAAACGAATGAGGAGTACTGTAGAAAATGTGGCTCGCTGGGATTGGGAACTCGGCAAACTTTAGATCATCTGTTTCATGATTTCTCTCATTGACATGAAGAGTATACAAATCAGAACGGCGATGCGAAAAGACTGGTTGCATTTCGCGAAGGCTGGCTACGTAGCTCAGATCAATTTCAGCGAAGCACATATCTGAAAATATCCAAAATAAATCTCATTTTTTCTAAAATAAATCGGATTTTCCTTCTCAAACTGACCAACTCTCTCAGAACATTGAGCTACCACAGCTCCCCATGGATCCACAACCATTGCATGACCGTACGATTGTCTTTTTGGATTATGAGCTCCAGTTTGAGCAGCAGCCACAACATAACACTGATTCTCAATAGCACGAGCACGTAGAAGAGTTTCCCAGTGAGCCAGTCCGGTATTCAATGTGAAAGCACTCGGGAAAGAGAGGAGCTGGGCTCCACGCTGTCGGTTCCAAAGGGATAATTCAGGAAACCGTACATCGTAGCAAATCGAGAGACCCAGACATCCAACTGGAGTTTCTACTGGAGGAACCATCTGAATGAAGAATCACAGTCGGATATCCAATTTTGTATAACCCCTACCTCGTTACCAGCCTTGCTGAATTCACTCTCCATCAATCGAACCTTCCCTGGAATTTCCAGATCGAAGAGATGCAATTTGTTATATTCTACACAAGTGGCTCCTTGTGAATCGATGATCAGATGAGTGTTCCATGGATGTGCGTGATCGGATGGATCCTGAAAGCCAATAAAACTTGAATAATTAGAGAAAAAAGTTTCTTCTTTTCTTTTCTAGTACTTTGTGATGAAGTCCTCCTAAAGACAACCAGACATTGTGTTTTTTCGCGAGATCTCTATATCTCTGCATATATACACAGTCGGCCGTCATCGCAAGATCAACCTGCTCGTTTTTGTTCACTCCAATGAAATCAAAACATTCTGGCAGGAAGACCATCTGAAAATCAGTTTCTCACTTTTTGTCAGAATACTGAGCTTTTTTACTTCACACTTTCTTTCTCCAGCTCGCTCGATCATTGATTTTGCAATATCGAAGTTTTTCTCCAGATCGTTGTCGCTTGTCATTTGACATACTGCTATCTGAACAGTTGTTTTAACTTCTAGATCTTTTCAGAAAGAAAATATGGTCACTTACAAAATGTCGACCTGTAGCCATCGTACGCCGAATGACTGTGGTCAACATGCGATCGACTGGTAGATAACAAACAATCAATGATAAGTGTCGAGTGGGAAAGAAATGTTGAACTGGTCAAAATCAGGTCACTTTGCGATGAAAAAAACAGGGGTACGAATAGAATTTATACAAGAGTGCAAGAACTAATACTCCAACAAGAAAGTGAATAACATTAATACCTATTTAAAGGTTACTATGGCGAGCAGTACATTAAATGGTCTTTTAAAACAAAGACAATACCGTAACACCTCTAATAGAAGGGCTGCCCACATTGTCAAGTTTGAGCTAATTTATCTTGGCTCGTATGCAAGATAAAAAAATTTTAACTGATAAAATGTTTGTGATATGAAAATGAACAATCCATCAGTTTACAAATATTGTATATCTTTGGTAGAAACCGAGATAAATTGGCTCAAAGTTAAAAATTTTGGGCACTTCCATTAGAGGCGTCAAGGTATTTTACAGAACTTCGTAAGAACGGTAATTTAATCAGATTTCTTTGGTTCATTGAGTTTGTCATGTTCTTTTTGTAATCGTTGTACTTGTCCCAAATGAGCAGTGGTCGCGTGTACGCTATTTTTCCGGCTCACACTGCGAACTCCCAGATGACGATAACTGAAGTAAAAATGGTCTAGTTCTTTCAATTATGATGAACACCTTACCGGTACCATTTCCTTCCGTGCAACGCTTTGTTGAGCTCGTATTCATGTCGGACCTTAGGAATTTCAAAATTATAATTCGCGATCAGTTTTTTATATTTACCTTGTACTCGACTTCTCTCGCTGTCTTCAGTTTTCCCATTCTTCGAAGAGTCCAAAATGTAGCTTGAATAAGAAGAAGCGTAGTAATGTAACGGAATGGCATCGCAATCTGAAAACCATTTTTAAGAAAAAAATGTGTTTTGGAAAACTCAATGAAAAAATCTGAAAACGGCATATCATACCTTGTATAAAATGAGCGAAACTACAACGACACCAGCAGATTCGGGTGTATTTTTGACTTTTTCAAGAATCGCATCTGGCATATGCATCCATTCGAGAAGAGCAATCACATCTACTCCACTCTTCACCACCAAATACAATGCAATGAACCAGGCGGTACACGAAGCGGCATGTGCTGGTACGGCTATGTACCAGTATCTTTTGAAATAGTACTTCACTTTTGCGAAAATGCCTTGTGGTGCTTCTTCTGCTCTCATCTGCTCAATTTTTGCAGTTTTCGCAGCTTTCTGCTCTTCCGACATTGTCATACGAAAAAATTTCCATTTCTGATCTTGTGGCTTCTGAACATGTTCTTTCTCGCTCACTCTTAAGGTGCTGTGAATGGTTCTACACGATGAGCTTGATGGAAATTGACTCTGTGCGTAACAGAGGCTTCTAGAGCAGCAGAGCCGTTCAGCATGAAGTATTGATCGAGCCAGAAGCATTCTGAACTGATAGTTCTATTTTGGAATATTTTCACTCTATCTTAAAATACTGAACGGGTGTTTTAACTCTTCTAGCCAACCTTGACTCTTCTGCTTCTCCCAATAGTAGGGTATTAGAAATTTATTGCTATTTGGAAAGTGCTGTGTGAAAATACATGAAAAAAAGGAATAAATAAATTACATTTCTACAAATAATTGAAACAAAACGAAAAATAAAAACAACCCAGCACTATTCAATATGTGCTTCGACCAGTAATCAATAAAAGGCTTGAAAAATAAATTAATGAACGAGTTCGGTTTTTTGGCGAATGGCATGATAGAGAGCAACGACGAGAACGATGACAGCAACAGTCTCAGAAGAAACTGGCGACTTTGAGGCGAGTCCCTGGAAAACATGAGAATTTCATTCACAGATTTCAAAGATATACAGAACATGTTCATTTTTTGAAAATGTTCTCAAATTAAAACGATAAATTCATCAAGGAAATAAATTGTATCGTTTAATCATTAAATTAAACTCAAAGCTTAATACATATTTTTTTATTCAAGTCCTTTTCTCCTGAATATACTAAAAATTTCAGAAAAACTGCTTCAAAGCTTTTTAAAAATTTAAATTATATTTTTTCAGCCGAAATTTTTTAAATTGTTTTTTAAACACAGAAAATACAATTTTTCGTATGAATCTGTTAAAAAACAAAAATTTATGTCATGAATCTCTTGTTTTCTTTTCCGTTTCTAGAGAGCGAAGCAATTTTCGCTCTGATGTCGGAATTTCAGATATTACTCTTGTCCGATATCTTGTCCGATATACTTTTTCAATACTTTTTTTTCGTTTTTAAAATGAATTTAGAAAACTCACGGAATGGTTCTGCTGCACAGTGAAGAGTGGGCTGGTGGATGGATTCTTGGCAAGTTGAGCTGCTCCTTCCTCATCGTAGATGTTGATATTGAAAGTTTGGGCTCCAGCGGCAGCGTGGTCAAGGGTCCAGGAAACTTGGTACTTGGCTGTCTCATCAGAAGTGGAGACTGGGATAAGGCGGCCATTCACTTCAGCTGTGTATTGGATGTTCTTTGGGTTGTTGCTACATTGAAGAGTGAACTCGGTGATGAAAGTTGTTCTGTAGTGGAAGAATCCATCGGTCGTAGAGAAAGATGAAGCGGAGAACTTGGGAGAGTCGCACTTGGCGCCTGAAAAAATGACAATAGAAAGTATATAAATCGAATAAATACTTACACAGCGCAGATGCTACTAAGCAAAGTGAAACGACGGCCTTCAGCATTTTTACCTGGGAATAGAAAAGAAATTAACCAAGGCAGTAAAAATATTTAACAAAAAAGATCTATCGCAGAGAATGTCCTGACAAAAATAATGAAACAGAGGAGCGGAATCAGGAAAAAAAATGTTAAAACGAATAACTCTACGGCAAACTTTCTTGGCGAATAATCTTCTCATTATGTTTGTAAACTTCTCTAACGCAAAAGCAGCCACACAGTCTCGCTTGGCAACAAGCCAGTTTGCAGTTCTTTCGCCAGCGTGGTGAGACCCGCGCGGGGAGGAAACCATGTGCGCCTTTGAACTGACTCTGCTCGCGATTTCTTTTCATCACATGAATCGATTCTAAAACGCTTGAACTATTCTTGCGAAACAGTATTTGGCGTCTATTTGGACGATAAAGAAATAAGAAGGAATATTTGAACTTTTTTAAACACTTTTTGTAGCGCGGTTGAGCTTCTTGTATAGCTAAAAGCGTTCTGGCAATCATTTGAAACTTTTTTTGGTTTTCAGACGATAAAATGGCATCTAGTAGCAGTGGTCCCCCAGATATCAAAATCCATAATGTTTTCTTATCAAATGTGGAAGAAGAGTTCGCTCGAATCCGTGGATTAGTTGAGGTACGAACAGAGAAAGAAACTGAGTTAGAATCGATTTACTATTAAGGATTATCCATATGTGGCCATGGACACAGAGTTTCCGGGAGTGGTTGCGACGCCATTGGGAACGTTCCGAAGCAAAGAAGATTTTAATTATCAGCAAGTGTTCTGTAATGTCAACATGCTGAAATTAATACAGGTAGTCCATCCGTTGCGCTCAAATCTATGTTGGCGTTGCCCTTCAGGTTGGATTTGCCATGGTCAACGACAAAGGCGAGCTGCCCCCAACGGGCGATGTTTGGCAGTTCAATTTCAATTTCTCCTTCGCCGAAGACATGTTTTCACATGACAGTGTTGAAATGCTGCGTCAAGCGGGTATTGATTTCAACGCATTGCAGGCAAGATACATTTCTTTTTATAAGTTACCCGAAAGCTTCTTTCAGCATGAGGGAATACCAACACATGTATTCGGCGAGTTGCTGACAACATCTGGACTAATTACGGATCCGCGGATTACATGGCTGACATTCTCCTCGGGCTACGACTTTGGATACCTTCTGAAAAGTATAACGCTTGGCGATCTGCCCAAAGAAGAAGCTATGTTCTTCACATGTCACAAAACTCTGTTCCCGACCAGTTTCGACATCAAAATTCTTCTCCGAACGCCGAATTGCGCATCAGCGAAGCTGAAAGGTGGTCTGCAGGAGGTTGCTGACCAGTTGGATGTAAAACGACAAGGAGTTCGTCATCAGGCAGGATCCGATGCACTTTTGACGGCTGCAACGTTTTTCAAAATCAAGAAGCAGTTTTTCGGAGATAGCTGGAATCAAATTGCTCCTCTGATTTGCGGTCACATGTTTGGACTTGGATCGTCACTTTCCCTCTTCCATTCCGGTGGTTCACAAGCCCGACTTGGAGAGGATCCCAATCAAGGAATGGGTGGAATTCAGCAACAAGCGTAAAACCAGGTGGAACAAAAGGAATGCTGAAAATACCAAACTTATAATATCATCAATTTCAATATTTTCTCTTCTTTCCATCTGGTGTGATCTCTCTTTTTGCTTCTCATGTGTCTATTTCTTTGTCTAATTTTGGTCGCATTTCCACTCTTTTCACACATAAGTCAATTACTATTACTCTCCCTTGTGTTCCCAACCAAAAATATTATTTTTGTTGTAAATTCTTTCTGTTCTTCCATCTATTTCCAATCTTTTGTCTTCATTCTCTCTCTCTCCATCTCTCACCCCAAAAATTCCCCTAATATTCGCGTCCTTTGCTTCATGGTTCATCTCTCATTCTTTTCCGGCTCTGCTTAGCTGATTAGGCTAAATTAGATAGGGATAACAGTGGAAGTCTATTATGCTTGTCTGAGAAAAAAAAGGTGAGACGCAGAGAAATAGTGTCTGCGTCTCCACTTAATATGTGCTATTTAGGCTCTCCGCTTCGATATCACTACCGTATTCAGACTGCAAAAAATCTTCTCTAACCTTTTTTTTCTCAGACAAGCATAATATTCGATTTTGATTTCCAGAACAGCTAGGATCGGAGCCCGTGTATTTTTTTATTTTCATCTTTTCCCATTCCCTATGCCCAAAAAAATATAAAATTTTCGAAACGTACAAATCCTATTTTCTATGTGACCTACTGAAGTTATTCAACTTCACTTTATCTCTACAGTGTTCGGAAATGGTTCAAACCGAATTTTTTGTCACAGCAAAATGCCGAGTGGTGGACAAAGAAAGCACACAATTTCGAATAAAACTCGCAAGCGTCCAGGCAAAGATTTGGATCAGATCCACGAAGACTTGAAACCCGAAAAAGCAGCGAAGCTTCTTCAACAAGAGGTAAATATTCAAACAAACGGAACATGAACTAAATTGAAAAAATTGTTATAGGTCGATTATGATCTTCCTGGAAACGGACAGTTTTACTGTATTGAGTGCGAACGGCATTTCATCGACGAGAAAACTCGACAGCTTCATCGCAAAACGAAACTGCACAAAAATCGTGTGAAATCTTTGAAAGAGGTTCCATACACCCAGGCAGAAGCCAATGCCGCTGGCGGCTCTGGCTTCTTTCCTGCGGTCACTCTGAAAAGCCGAATGGAACTGCCGAAACAACCGGAAATATCTGTTGAAATTGGGGAGTGAACATTGGATTTTCACTCGCATTCGTTTCTTTTTTGTTATCTGACGTTGTTGATTTATGAAAAGTTTGAAATCATTTTTTCATGTTTATGTGACAGCAATACAAATAGAAATCGGAATGGGTGTGTTTCGACAAGAAACAAAGATGAATAAAAAAATTAATCAAAGTCAGAATTATGACGACTGAGCTACTTAGAGACTTCTTCAACCTTCTCCACGAACTTCTTAGCGACATCTGCAGAGCCGAATCGAATCATCAGTGTGGTCATTTCAGATGCCGAAACCGGACAAGTGAGACGAATTCGTTCTCCTTTATCATCGACCTTCGTTGCTTTCATTGCCTTGTTACAAAGAGCGTTCAGCCAAACGGTGCCGATCGCCGTCGCAGCTCTGATGAGTACACTAAACTTCCCATCAGTGTCTTTGACATGAAGCATTCCAACGCCAAGCTTAGTGTATTCCTTGTCAGCAAATTTGAAGACAGCGACTCTTAAATGGAGTAAAGAATTATAAAAACGGTGAAAATGTTCCGATACTCACTTGCTGCTGATTACCGCATCAGGCTCTTCAACTTCGACTGTTTCTACTTTCGGCGGCACATACTCTTCGTCATCATCACCGCCCTCGCCTTTCGCCTGATTCTCCTGGGCTTTCTGTGCTAAACCAGCGAAGCCTCCAAACAACGATCCAGTAGTGGTAGCACCTCCAAACAGTGATCCAGTAGTCGTGGTACCTCCAGATCCAGTATTAGTACCTCCAGAACCGAAGCTTAAAGATGGCGTGGTTTGTTTAGCGCCGGATCCGAAAAGAGAAGCACCGAAAGCAAGTCCAGAGAATGGTTTCGCTGCGGCATTGTCCCCGTCTTTTTGCTCTCCGAAAACCAATGGCTTAGAAGTAGTAGCTGGCGTATCTGAGGACTTCAATCCCGCAGATGTGGTTTCTGGTGACTTGGAAATAGCTCCAAAAAGTGAACCAGTTGTCTTAACGTTCTCATTCTTGGATGTTGTAGATCCAAATAGTGGGACAGTAGTTTCAGCGGATGTTGTAGATCCAAACAGTGGGACAGTGGTTTTTGGCTCATCAGGCTTTGCAGTGTCGGATTCTGGCTTTTTGCCAAATGAGAATCCAGTGAACTTCGAAGGCTCTTTAGACTTATCACCGCTGAAAAATCAAAAAATTGAGTGTCAAAAATTCTGTGAAATCTACATACTCTTTGCCCAGGAAAGCAAAAAGAGATCCATCATTATTTCCTAAAGCTGCTCCATCGGTGTTGCTCGAATCTTTTTTTGTCCAGAAATCTTTACTGGGTTCTGGGAACTTGATGTTAGTTGTTGGGATTGTAACAGTGGAAGTTGAAGCCTGAGACTCATTGCCTGACTTGAAAATAATGGATTCAGATCCACCGAGCGGTCCTCCACCACGAATTGCACGTTTGCGAGCGGTTCCAGCAGCAGGTGCAGGTGGCTCACTGGATTTTGAAAGAGGCGCTGGTGTATCCTTGGCGATGACGGAAATATCGCTAAACTTATATTTCTATACACAATAGGATTGTTTTTTTTTACCCAAATTTTGGTGCGGACAGTGCAGCTGCCGGGCTTGAAGCCGCGAAAACCGTGGTGTTTGAAATTTTTGGCGAATCAGTAGAACGAACAGCACTTCCCGCGTTTCCATTACGACGCACAGCTTTAGCTATTTTGCGCTGGTGAGGTTTTTCTCCAGCATCGTCCCGTTTCACTTCAGTTTTTCGCACATCTGTTCTTCCTGAATTAACAGCAGCGACTGCATCATCGTCAACCTTGTACATTGTTTTCAATTCTTTCACATGTTTCATGTATGACTCCATCGTTACGCTCTGAAAACGAACTTCAGAAGGAGTCAAAAATGTAGTAACGCTTACAAAATCATAATGGCTTTTCTCTGTGAAGAATCCATTGAGAACTTTGAGAAACTCTGCATTCAGAAGCGTCATTTTATCACGAAGACGGAAAACGTTCATTTGTTGCTCAGAAGTGAGCGGTGCCTCTGGAACCTCCATCGCAGTAGTCATGGATTCTGTGAAAGTTAGGAAGATATTTAGACAAAAAGGATTTCGTTTGAATTCGGATTTTTTATCTGCAACCTTGCGTAACGGTGTTTGCATTTGTTGCACTCAACTTTACGACACTGTCTGCTGATAATACGCTGCCAAATTCTATGTTTTCTTGCAAAGATTTCTTGCATTTCTTCAGCTGTTAAAATTGATTTTCTTCACTTTTGAATGTGAAAAACGAATACTATTTAGTACACTTTCCTTGGATGCCAGCTAGTAGTTTTCAACACGAATCGGACATTTTTGTTTATCGCTCTATTCATAAATTGTTTTTAAACACAGAAAACACCGTTCTTTTGTAATCATGAATCGGTTGAAACCACAAAACAAAACACAGCTTCTCTATATCATGAATAACCCCACTAATTTATCCAAGTTAGAAGCTGTATTCTTTTCTTTAAAACCTTTTTTTTCAATTACTAATTTTTATGTAAATTGATCTACTGTTTCTAATTTCTTCCAGAAATGCTCCGTGTAGCCGTTTCCGCAGCTCTCCGAACCGCTTCAACACGGTTGCTAAGCAACAGTACAGTTCAAACCCGAGTTTTCACCCCAATGATTGTTTCTGGATCGAAACCATCGTTTCAAATCAGACAGTATTCCGCCAAGGTAAGTTTTCAATTAGTTATACTAAAGTCTAGACATTTTATCCGCGTTTCAGAGAAAAAAAGCTCAGCGCAAATAGTTTTAGGTATATGTCAAGTTCACACTTCTTCATTTCAGGCTCCACTCACCAAGAAAACTTTGGAAGAGCGAATCGTTCTCGTGCTTTCTCTTTATGATAAAATTGACGCCAAGAAGCTCACAATGGACTCTGACTTCACTAAGGATCTTGGCCTAGATTCTCTGGATCATGTGGAAGTAGTCATGGCTATGGAAGAAGAATTCGGGTTTGAAATCCCAGACGGAGATGCCGACCGCTTCAAAACTCCACGCGACATCTTCCAGTACATCGCCGACAAGGAAGATGTTTTTGAATAAATTATCCTCATCCTTGGTGTTATAACCTTCTTTAGTAACATAGATTTTTTGTTCTCTCGTTTTTATTTCTGTGGAGCAGCAGGTGAAGTTTTCAAGATTTTAATAAAGTTTGCAAACTGAGAACTGGTGAAGAAAAAAAAATTGTTGGAAAAGTAGCAGCTTTTCTTGTATATTTTTGATTCCAAACAGTTGAAATACATATTCACTAATCGCATTCAGTTCATGTTCGATCCATCGAAATGGTTCGGACGAGCCCCTTATCAACAAGTTGGCGGCGACAGTGATGATATAGAAGTTGACCAAATATCATTCACTAGTTCCTGCTCATCGGGTGAACACGAAGGATATGTAACGGCGATGGATACAACGTCACACAGAGAAGAAGGCAGGTTTCAGTTATCATCCACCGATTTGATTTCGTTCGCAGATGAGCTAAATGTGCCTGGTGAGTAGACTTTCACCTGTCAAAAAGCAATGAACTAAACATTTTAGGAACATCAGAAGACAACTCAATACTATCCTCTGATAGTCCTGTTTCCTCATCACAGGTTTCAAATTTCCCTCCGCCTTTCTACGAATCTTCCAACTTGAAAGAGAGTATCATTGTAAGGAATTCGATATTTTGGTTCACAGAAAACGAAGTCGATGCTTCCAAACTAGTCCTCCCTATATCCAATAAAGGAAGGGTTTGTCGATTCGACCATGATGTGGATGACAATCAATTAGAAACCATATGTAGGACTCTTCAAATCTCAATGGGGCTGAGTGAAAGATCTCGATGGCTTAATCATATGGCACGAAATCCAGCTCTATCTGAACTGGCACGAGAGTTAGATGAGGAGTTCCCGTCTTCCTTCAGTGAAAGCGTAGAAAACGATGAGGAAGATCTCGAATCTGTAGACCAGGAAATTGAGTCAAGACCGCCAGCAACGTCTTTTTCTTCTTCATCCTGTGCTGGATCCTTCCGAACAGTTGTTTGTCCCACGTATGGAGCACTCACAGAGACAAATGGGATTCTCGATGACACGACGATGAGCAATCTCGCTCCGGGAATGGCACGGACAGTTGTACCACCACAACGTGGAATTCAAGGTGTTGAGATACAGCGAAGGATAAACGAAACGCCTTCAGCAGTTTGCTCAGCTATTATTCGGCAAGTTGCTGAGAAGGACCCTCCAATGGATAGAAGAATGATTGAGTGGATGAGAGGATTTGCGGAAGTTGATACCTGGATTCAGGAGGTGAGCCTGTAGATCTAAAATAGTGAACTCATTCAATTTCCAGGTTGCCCCTGCTTCTCGAAAATACGATAAATACTCTTTCGAAGTTCCTCCTTTAACTGAAGATTGGATTCTAACAGTTCACAAGCAGCCAGCTATTCGTCAAGGTCTCGAATCCCAACAATGGAAATGTGCAGCTTGCCGTCAATCCCTTCACACTCACAACATCAATGATAAGGATACATGTCCGAAATTCTGTGATTATTATGGTCTCTTCTTCTGTTCTCTATGCCATGGTGGCGAAAAGTCTATAATCCCTTCGCGAGCAATTACGCAATGGAATTTCGCCGAACATCCAGTATCCGACCGAGCGATTCGATTTTTGCGAGCCGTCAGAGAGACTCCCGTTTTCAAAGTCCGTGACTTACCAGGAGATTTGCTCAAGAAAAACAAAGCGTTGAGAGCTGTTGTAGAATTGAGGCAGAAGTTGAAACACATGGAAGGGTTCATAAAGGTGCGTATAGTCCTTTTTTTATTCTCAAAGGATTATTATTATTTTTCAGATTTGTTTAGATGCTTCTAACCAAGTTTTCGAATTTGGTAATTTGAGTACAATGTTTGCGAATATGGATCGTTATCTTCTTGAGAATGATGATTTATTCTCTCTGAATGATTTGCAGAGAGTCTATAACAAGGTTAGATAAATATAAAAAAGTTTATTATTGTTAAATTTATCTTGTTTTCAGGATCTCATTTCCCTACTGGAGCCTCTGGCCAAGCGAGGAAGAGAACACATTCTTCATTGCAAGCGATGCCGTTTGCAGGCGCCAGTTTGTGTTCGATGTAATGATATGACTGATCGCCTTTTCCCATTCGAAGAACGTGCTGTGGCTCAATGCGATGGTTGTGGCCACCTCTCTCATTCCCCGAAATGTCCGAGACGAGATGTTCCCCGTGACACTCATTGTCCTAAATGTGCTAGGCTTAAATCCAGATCAAACGGCATGAGAACTTCAAGAATAATTGGAGACGTTGTGTAGTTATTCTAATTTATCTCTTTTTGTTTATGGTTTCTGTGAAATCCTGATGTACCAAAAAATACCAAACATTTCCTCATCAAGCTTTCGTCCTATTTCTTTCTGCTCATCCTGTCACTTTTCGATATAAGCTTCACTTTCCCCCGTTATATGTGCCTTTATACCAGTATTGTATATTTCACCAGTATATATTTAATATCATCCTCCCAGTTTTTTGTAATTTTCCCAGTGATTTTTTTGCCACACATCTGACTGTTTATCTGGAAAAATTACTTGTTCCGTATTGATGAAATTTCCAAACGAACAGCACTTTTTAAAATTCGTTTATGACTTTTTTTCGTCTCGTGTTTGAGTCGATTTCATATTTTTTGAGTATAGTTTGGAGAGAACCAGGGATTTTCGGAATTTCGGGAAATTCCGATATGAAACCCTTCTGAGTTTCGGGACATTCTGATTTTCAGAATATCGGAATTTTCTACCACAAAACTGCGAAAAGTTAACGAAATATTGAGACCGTACGAATCGGGGAGACACCCAAAAGCGCGAGACACAAAAGCGGGAGACACGAAAGCGGGAGGCACGAAAGCGGGAGACGAAATTGCTTACCGTACCAACGTTAATTCCCAAACCGAGAGTAACCAAACGGCCGAAAATTATGTTCAGGAGCATAAAAAAGGTCTCAAAATTTTTAAAAACATATTTTCATTTGGCTCGGGTATTTTATTCACAACTTTACTGAAAAATAGACGAATAACCCCATAATTTTTTACAATGGAACGATGGATTACGGTAAGCAATTGCGTACTTTCTCCCCTTTCGTCTCCCGCTTTTGTGTCTCCCGCTTTCGTGTCTCCCGCTTTTGTGTCTCCCGCTTTCGTGTCTCCCGCTTTTGGGTGTCTCCCGGATTCGTACGGTCTCGAAAAATTATCTATTACTCTCGTCCGAAATCAATGCATGTTGCGGCCGAAAATTTACTCAAAATCGCATCGTCGGTCGCACAGCGAAAAAAATAAATTGATACATGCGCCTTTAAATACCGTACCTCGGACGGTTTTTATTTTGGACCCTATTTGGCTGTTTTTTTTTCTATTTTATAAGAAAAAAATTGAAGATTTATAAGAATTAGACAAAATTAGACAGAAACAAGCGAAAAAATGAGAGAAAAAGGCAAACATTCGATAAATGTTGAGGTACTGTATTAAAGGCGCGTGCAATAATTTGAAAAATACAGTAAGGTTCTCTCTGTGGGAGCTAAGCTCCGCCCACCGTTGTTTTCTCGGCCGCAACGTGCATTGATTTCGGACAAGAGTAATATTTCAAAACTACCAAAAAAAAGTTATTCCGCTCGAGACCCGCAACTAAAATTTTTCGCTTGCGCCTTCGACATACCGTAGTCGAGAAAGCTTTGATTCCAGAAAGAAACTTCGTGGGGGATATTCCGAAATTTTCGGATTTTCCTTTCCTTTCAATCGTAAAAAATAACAAATTATATATTTTCCAACATCTAAAGACTTTCTTTTTTCCAACATCTAAAGACTTAAAATTGTCGACTTACTGCAATAGTAAATTTTCAGTCAATTATCGCATTTTTCAGGTCATTGAACTGCCCGTCTGCTAGTTAGGACATCGAATTAAGAAAGATGGGAAACGTATGTTTTTTATTTGTTGTCGCAATACTTTGAGCCTCTTACTTTCTAAAGAAACCTGTTTCTTTCTCTAGCACTTCTGGTCAACTTGGACTTCTTCCCAGCGCATTTTCTCTATTATTTGGCCTGCGATTGTTCTCTACCTAATAATGAAGCTGCTAATCGAGAAGGTAGAATTAAGGCACACTTTAACTTTCTTGAATATAAAAAAATGTTTTCAAAATGCTTCACTGAATGACTTTGGATTTTAGAAAAGGTATTCTAATTGCAGATGTGGGGAAGCAACCGTGGAGCAGTGGAAAGATTCCAGAAAGGTCGCGAAGCACTTTTCAATGAGTTCAAAGAACGATCGGACCCGGAGAATCTTGTTGGAAATCGAAGAATTGTGAACGGAAACCAAAATGCAGAAGAAATTGAGAAAACGTTCTGTGAGATTCTGCAGCTTGATTTGATTACTTTGAAATGTATTTTTCTCCAAAATTAATTAATCCTATCAGACTATTCACAGCACGATTACAAACTGACGACTACAACGCATATACCGTTTTGTGTGCATTCATCTGGAGAGCAATAAAGATTGATGAAGAGATCAATTGCATTACAGAATTGATCCGAGAAGCATTCGACATTGCTGAAAGACTTGATGATGAGTATGAAGCATCTGGTGAAAAGGGAGATTTGTTCGGATTGCCGTTTTCAGTCAAAAGCAATTTCTTTGTCAGTTTCAAAATTTAACAATTTTTTTGATTATGGTATTTATTTAGATCAAAAACTACGACGTGACTTGTGGTTTGGCGAAACTTTTGGAACAACCAAAAACGACTACATGCCCTATGGTTGAATTCCTATCAGACCAAGGCGCTATCCCATTTTGTTTCACAAACGTTCCACAAGGACTTCTCTCATATGTCAGCTCTAATCCTATTTATGGAACTACCAAAAACCCATGGGACTTTTCTCGTACGCCAGGAGGATCATCTGGTGGTGAAGCAGCTCTTTTGGCTGCTGGCGGATCTGCATTTGGTATTGGATCGGACCTTGCTGGAAGTCTTCGGATCCCTGCTGCTTTTTGTGGTCTCGTTACTTTGAAACCAACTCAAGATAGACTCTGTGTTACCGATACGCATGGAGGACTGCCAGGACGTGGGAGACTTGGATTGAGCTTCGGATTTTATACCAAAACAGTAAACGAACAGGAGTTCCTGCTTCGAACAATTGTGGGAAATCCATCTTATCTCGAATTGTGTCCCATGTCTTCTCCAGCTAAATTGGGAAAACCTTCAATCACTCCTGAGGAGAAGCTAGTGATTGGATGGTTTACTGATGATGGTTTCAATCCTGTTGTTCCATCGAATCGTCGTGCTGTTGAAGAAACGATTCAGAATCTCAAGGAACAAGGTCATAAAATTGTAGAGTTTAAACTATCAGATGTTTCGGAAGAGTTCCCTTCGTTCGTAGTGGCAAATATGCTATTCAGAGTAAGTTTTGTCGGGATGATGACGAATTAATGATAGGATTTCAGAACGTGATGCCTGACAATGGAGCATACATGTCCGAGATGTACGGTGGTGAGCAGTATGACGAATACATGAAGCTGTTCATCCGCCTTGTTCGTGTCAAGCAGAATGTGGTTGTCAGTTGGCTGATTCGTTATGGAGCAATGCCACTTGCCAAGTTGCTGCTTTCAAAACGACTTGCTTGTATTGGAAGTGCATACAATTCTGACCTGGCTGCTTGTCGCCAAAATCAGGAGAACACGGATACTTTCAAATTACACTGGATTAGATACTGGAAAAGCAAAGGCCTTGATGCTTTAATTTGCCCATCTTTCATTAGTAAGTAAATAGTTTTCGGTTTTGATAGTGTTATGAAAATTCTTCAGCTCCCGCTCAACCATTCGAGTATCCTGCTCAGCTGTCAAATGGTGCGTTTCTCACCGGACTGTTCAACATGCTCGACTTCCCTGCTGGTGTTGTTCCAGTTGCTCCGGTGAAGAAGCGGGATGTTGATCTTTTGAATGATCCAGTGGATGGATTTCCTCTGGAAGGTGATATTCTACTGAAGAAACAGCGCGAATCAGCTCAGCAATCTGCTGGACTACCAAATGCTGTCCAGGTTGTAACTCTTCCAAACTGCGAAGAAATGTGTATCCGTGTTATGAAGCTCGTCGAAGAAACTAGCTCTGGAGTACAGCGTCTTCAGTGGAAACATGATAAAAATGATAGTGATCCTGTTGATGTGAACAACACACCATCTGGAGTTGTGGAGAGCATGGAACACTTCAAACGTTTGGATCTTCATCGTGTTAAGTAATTCCTATTCCCGACCAGTTTTCATGTATATTCGATGATTTAAATATTTATATTGTGCCTTTTTCAACTTTGAAAATGTGATTTTCTTCCATTGCCAGATCAATATATTGTCGGATTAAAAAAAGTGACACCTGAAAATCTCGGCACTTAATTCCGGGGGCACAAAGATTAGGGGTCACAAGGGGGCACAACTGATTCGGGGGTACAAAAAAGTGATTTGGGGGTACAAAGCCAAGGGGGCTCAATGGTTTGGGGGCACAAATTCTTAGGGGGCACAACCTAGTTTGATTAGGGGGCACAAAGTGGCTTCCTTAGCTGCAAAACGAGATATGCTTAGGGGGCACAAACTTCTGATGAGGGGGCGCAAATTTTTGATGAGGGGGCACAAATTTTTGTTTTTTTTTGTTCTGAAAGGATTTTCGGAAAACTTAAAGACAAGTAGTATAAACTAGACGGAAATAACGCGGAATCGTTCAATGCTCATTAAGCTCTCTTGCTTACTACATTTTTCATGTTTCCCACTCACCCCCTATCAAATTTGTTGTTGTTTTTTACTGTTTTTTAATGTTGTTACACTTACCCCATTGATTCTGAAAATGAATCTAATAAAATACGTCCGAAATTTGAGAAGTTCCAAGAAAAGCTTATGCAACCTTTGAAAGGAATTTTGAAAGCTCTCTTGTCTTTAAGTTTTCCGAAAATCCTTTCAGAACAAAAAAAAACAAAAATTTGTGCCCCCTCATCAAAAAATTGCGCCTCCTCATCAAAAATTTGTGCCCCCCTAAGCATATCTCGTTTTGCAGCTAGGAAGCCACTTTGTGCCCCTTAATCAAACTAGGTTGTGCCCCCAAACCATTGAGCCCCCTTGGCTTTGTACCCCCAAATCACTTTTTTTGTACCCCCGAATCAGTTGTGCCCCCTTGTGCCCCCTAATCTTTATGCCCCCGGAATTAAGTGCCGAAAATCTCGGAGACGGCGCTCGTGTCGATTTACGAGGGGGCGGAGCGAAAACGGATACTGTAGATAACAGATTTATTTATGTGAATTTAGTGGGATTTTCGACACTCACCGATTCC